CCCCAAAACCCCAAAACCCCAAAACCCCATTAGTCAAAGTTACTGTATCATGTAGAAAAGTGAAATTAAATACCTGATTTTTATGATAATAAGATTGAAATTATATTAAGTAAATAATTTGTGAATATACAAATATACGAAAAATTGATTAATACTTGACAAGCATCTTTCAAATTAGTACTTAGTTGGTTGGAACTGTTGAGCTTAGACCTTATTGATCTAGTCAGCTATTCATAAATACCATCATAATGATGATGATGACTCTGAGATCTTTCATTAGAATACTTTATTTTTAGATACAACTTTCTTATCTGTCCCACTAGGTTTTTAAAACGATGACGATCTATCTTCCATTTCAATGAAAAAATTTTCCATTTCGCTAATGATTACATCTTACGAGTTTAGGTTGTAGTTAAGATTATTACTGCTATTTTACGATCTTTACTATAATATTCCCCCAGTCCTAGTGGAATTCGATGGATTCTTTTCTATGTTGTCAACGAAATTTATTATATTTTTGCTTTTTATAAGTGTAATTATGTCACTGAGAGTTTGCTGCATTTCATACTCCTACGTGCGTTTACACTCATCTAGAAAGTACCCTAGATCAGGTTCTTTCAATTCCTCCTTCAAATTTTTCTGTTTCGCAACCTCAGCTATAGTATTTAAAAACCAGCCATCGACTTCATTTGGTGACTATTCTCCTTCCTCACATACCTCTAAAATTTATTCATTATCATCCACAAGTTGCTCAAAGGTCTGTTAAAAGATGTCCTCGTTTAGTATTTATGAGTAATATTTCGATTCTTGGAGATTCTGGCTGTTATCCTCACTTGTTGTAGCAACAGCTGTATCCTTTTGCATCATGGAAACGCTGTTACTGTCGTTTAGCATGTAACTGTTCTCGATAATCTTCATGAATTAGTCCTGAAAGATTTTGTGATTATTTGCTTTTACTGGCATGTTATTCTTGACACTCCATCTGTCTCCATCGATTATGTGATGAGAACCTAATCTAGACATTGAAATTCTTGGCGACTTAAAGCTAGAATGGGAAGTTTGAATCTATTATTATCTACTTGGACTTGATGGTTAACTATTTACCAGTTAAGGAATCGTGGGTTTCATAATTTCCTCCCCTAACGAGGCTCGTCTGTGGAATGGAAATCTGTACTATCCCCCAATGCCTTAGAATCCTTCAGGCTAAATAGGACTATTAAGCTTATGTCTGGCTGGTGAAAGTATATCCATCCTTTATTTGTTTTCTAATAATACTTTTACCTCCTTCATTATATTTAATTTTCTCATATCTCTTCTGAACAACGAAGACTTTCTCAGTAAGTCATCGGTCATTATATTTCTGCTGGATGATTGGGAGCTGTGTCTAGAGTGTGCAGAATTCTGATTTTGTACTTGTATCGTTGGGATAATGTCTGGTAGCTTTTTACTCTAGTTATCACCACCGTCGAAATTGATCTATCTTTTCTTAAGGATTATGCTCGGAAGTGTGAGTTTATTTTTCCTGAGAGCGGCCATGTTGATGGCAGGTACTTTGGCCCTGGCTATTGAACCATTTTGGAGTTTGAGTTTTTGGCCTAATTAGTCTAGGACTTGTTGATCGACGAGTCCAAAATATTGCTGTTATCTTACGCTTTAACTAAAAGCTGCTTGCTGATTTTCCATTATTAATAATTTGATTTATTATTTTTATTTGAAAAGGTTATATAGATAACATTTAATTCTCAGAATTCATTATCATACACAAACAAACTCACTCTCTAATTACAACACTTAGTATTAACTAACATCTCACTAATCATTTAATTCAATAATTCTGGTTCTTCGGGGTTTTGGGGTTTTGGGGTTTTGGGG